TTGTGGCTCAGTGGTAGAGTGCTTGCCTAGCATGTGTGAGGCACTGGGTTCTATCCTCAGCACCACATAAAAATAAATAAAATATTGTGTCCATCTACATCTAAAAAATATATATTTATTTATTTATTTTGTCATTCACTTTGAGACAGAAATTTCAGGTTTTCTATTTACTGTTTTTCTTTTGAGTGAACTATATAGCATGAATCATCATGTCAAATCATGCCCGTTGATGGGAATACCACTTTACACGTGATTGAATAATATTGCTGTTAGATCAATTTGAATGAATGGAATGCCATTATAAATAATGTTAATCCTCTTCTGACAGTATATAGTAAAAACTCACTCAGTATATGCTATAGAAATTAAGGGAGAGTTGAGAACTTTGAGGTATTTATGAATGAATATTTTAGAAGCATTAATATTTTTTGAAGCATTTTTAATATAATATCAGTATCAAATTAACTCAGGCAACTTTTTTCCATGACAGTAGAAGCCTCACTAAAAATTATTTCAAAAATCAATTGTTTTCCTGGCAAAGGCATATCTAGTTTGTATGTCATGAATGCGTATTTCAAGTAAGGACATAGCCTGGGTCAATTTGCCAGAGAGATGGTGAGCTGCATCACAACTTCTTCCTTCTTCCCATCTCCCATATCCAGTCTTCCATTATCTTCTTTTCAGATCTGTGCTCTTTCCATCCATCTGCTGCTATTCAAGGCAGGTTGCTATTATACCTTACCTGAATTGCTGTATCAGATTTCCAAAATTTCCTCTAGTCCATCTTTCTTCCATCTATAATCAGAATGATTCCAGTTACCTTCTTCCTTAAAACTATATACTTATTAACTGTGTAACAAAGTCCAAATTATTTTGCATGACCTGCAAGACCTTCATGATTGGAATTGTATTGAAATCTGCATATCAATTAGGGAATAATACCAACCTTACAATGTTGACTCTTCACTAATAGAGTATATCTATTTGATCAGTCTAATTTCACTCATTATTGTAATTTTTGGTATAGAAGTCTTTGACATCTTGGGCTGGGGTTGTGGCTTAGTGATAGAGCATTTGCCTCCCACATGTGAGGCACCGAGTTTGATTCTTAGCACCACATTAAAAAAAATATAGATAGGGCTGGGGATGTGGCTCAAGTGGTAGCGCCCTCGCCTGGCATGCGTGCGGCCCGGGTTTGATCCTCAGCACCACATACAAACAAAGATGTTGTGTCCGCCGAAAACTGAAAAATAAATATTAAAATTCTCTCTCTCTCTCTCTCTCTCTAAAAGAAAAAGAAAAAAACATGTTAAAAATAGATAAATAGAATAAAGATATTTAAAAAAAGAAGTCTTTGACATCTTTTGGTAGAATTATTTCTAGGTATTTAGGCATTAGGAAGTGGTACTACTATAAGTAAATTTTTGATTTTAATATTCCAGTATTTTACTACTTGCATATAGAGAATTGATTTTTCAATATTAATTATTTCCTGGGCTGGGGATGGGGCTCAAGCAGTAACGAGCTCGCCTGGCATGCGCATGGCTCTGGGTTCAATCCTCAGCACCAGATAAAAATAAAATAAAGATGTTGTGTCCACTGAAAACTAAAAAATAAATATTAAAAAATTCTCTCTCTCTCTATTCTCTATCTCTTTAAAAAATATTATTACATGCAACTTTGCAAAATTCAACTACAAGTTCTTTTTTCCCCACAATTTTAAATTGGTGCATCATAATTTTACATACTGATGGAATTTGTTGTTCAAATATCTGTGCATGCACAAAGTATACAATGTTGTTATAATTTGGCCAATATCATTTATTTCTCCAACTACAAGTTCTAACGGTTGCTTTGTGAATTCTCTTGGGTTTCTACCTAAACTACCTTATCTTCACGAATAGGAACATTATTATTTCTTCTAATTTTTCTTCTTCTCCTCTCTTCCTCTCCTCTCCATCCCTTTCCCCTCCCCTCTTTCCTGTTGTTATTTCAGTGGCTAGGACTACTAATACAATGTTGAATAGAAGTATTACAGAAGAATATTTTTGACTTATTCCTAATCTTAGAAATAATTCAGTCTTATATATAAGTATAATATTAGTTGTGCATTTCTCATAGGTGCCCATTTATCTATTTGGGATATTGCCCTATTGTTACAGTTTGCTAAGTGTTGTTGTTGTGTTTTTCTTTTCTTTTCTTTCTTTAATTTGGGAGGGGAGTAAGGGGGTTGAACTCAGTGTCATTCAACCACTGAGCCACATCCCCAGCCCTATTTTGAATTTTATTTAGAGACATAGTCTCATTAAGTTGCTTAGCACCTTGCTATTGCTGAGGCTGCCTTTGAACTCATGATCCTCCTGCTTCAGCCTCCCCAGCAGCTGGGATTACAGGTTACAGGTGTGTCTGTTTCTGTCATAAATGAATATTGAGTTTTCTTTTATCTTTTGAAATGACCTTGTAGTTTTTCTCCCATGGATGTTTAACACATTGAATTACACTGGTTTTTGAACATTCAGCCTTGTATTCTTAGAGTAAGTTTTATGTGGTCACAATGTATTACCTATCCTGTACACAATGGAATATTATTCAGCCATAAAGAAGTATAAAATTATGGTATTTGCCAGTAAATGATGAAATTAGATACTGTCATGCTAAGTGAAATAAGCCAATCCCAAAAAACTAAAGTCCAGATGTTCTCTCTGATATATGGAGCTAACTGGCAATGAGAGAGGGGGAGATGGAGGTTCACTGGATCAGATGGGGGAGTGGGAGAAAGGGAGGGTGGATGGGAATGGGAAAGACAGTAGAATGAATTGGACATAACTTTCCTATGTTCTTATATTAATATATGACTAGTATAACTCCATATCATGTACAACCACAAAAAATAGGAAGCTATACCCCATTTATGTATGACATGTCCAAATCATTCTATTGTCATGTAAAACTAAAAAGAACAAATAAAAGAAAAACGATGTATTACCTATATGTACCTTGTTGGGTTCAGTTTGTTTTTTTTGTACTGAGGATTGAACCCATGGCATTGTGCATTCGAGGAAAACACTCTACCAACTGAGCTATATCTCCAGCCCCTACATCAGTATTCTTTATGAATGTTTTCTTTATTGTAAAGGCTTTGTCACAATTTTGGTATAAGCATTATGTTGCTCTCAAACAGGTTGAGTACTCCCTCCTCCTCTCTTTTGAAAATACTTGCATTATTTTTTATTGTTTCCACCTGAATTAACAAAATTAACCATGAAACCATTTGAGCTTTCTTTTAGAAAAGTTTTGTTTTGATTTGTTTTGTTCTGTTGTCATCATTTTCTGTTGTAGAAAGTTTTTCATCCATCAGCAATTGAGATCTAATAGTATTAAAACAAACCCTATGAAAAGTTCAGAACCTTGTAAGGAGTAACACTTTTAAGGACTGTTGTATAGATTGTGGGAACTGAATTCAGGTAGAAGCCAACCAGGCATTCACTGTTACATGGCTCCAAACTAGCTTTGTCAGGTTTTGGAAAACTGATATAATACTTTTATACCTGAACCTTTTTTTTGTTCCTGTAAAGCAGTTTTTTTTTCAAACTGTTAAATATTTTAGCTGGGTACGGTGGTTCACTCCTGTAATCACAGCAGCTTGGGAGACTGAGGCAGGAGGATGGCAAGTTCAAAGCCAGCCTCAGCAAAAGCAAGGTGCTGGGAAACTCAGTGAGACCCTGTCTCTAAAAAAAAATTCAAAATAGGGCCGGGATGTGACTCAGTGGTTGAGTGTCCTGAGTTCAATCCCTAGCACCACAGATAGATTGATAATTTCATAAAGATCCTTGCGCCTCCCTGCCCAGCTTTCCAGGATCTCCTTCTTGACAGAGCCCTGTTAACCTTTCAGAGTGTTTGCAGACTCCATATACCCCTTTCACTTTCCTGCCCATCATGTTGTCCTCACTGTTCTTACCCAGCCGAGGACCCATGTAAGTGATCCCAAGTCCTGCCAAATAAGAAATGACTTATTTCTATTTGGTAGTTGCTTATCCTTGGGTTCACGGGACCCTTGGATAGTGGAACACTTCAGACATGCCTTTTACCTCTGTGTAATGAATTGGAATATTTCAGAAATTTCAGATAGCCAAGACTGGTAGAATCCTGCTTCTACCAGTGGCTGACCCTGGTCTGGCTTTCCTTGCTGATGGTCTACAGCCTGCCCTGTCAGAGAGTCTTCTCCTGCTGATTAATTTTAATTTCTTATTCTCTACTTGAATTTCAGTTCCCTTGTTTTCTGGTACCCAGCAGAGCATAGATGCCCTCTCTCTGACATCCATCCTAGAATGGATTCAAACCACCTTTTTGGCTCTGCTCTTAGTAATGAAGTTTCTAGAGGGTAGCAGTGGAAGGGTATCTTCTTGGTTAATACATGTAATACACACATTTCAGTATTAAGGGGCTAACTAAACCTCTCTGTCACTTTGGAAAGGAAATGTACCATAAAGAAGCTTATCTCTCTCTTTTTTTAATTGCTTAATTAGTTCTTCTTTCTTTCCCTCTTGTTTTTTTTCTTTTGTGTAGCCATTATTATAGCTATAAAGGAAACTGGCAAAATTTGTCTCCATAAGTCATTGTTTTTATTTTTTTCCATATTTCTTTCCAGTTGCTGCCCCAAAGCAGTGATACTAACTAGGTACAGTTTCAAAGTGCTTTGTTTGTTATGTTGGTTTTGTACTGGGGATTTAACCTAGGAACTTTACCACTGAGCTACATTTCTAGCCCTTTTTATTTTTTATTTTGAGATAGGGTCTCCCTAAGTAGCTAAGGCTGATCTTGGACTAGCAATCCTCCTTTCCCAGACTCCTGAGTTGCTGGAGTTATAGGCATATGACACCATGCCCAACTCTGAAGTGCATTTCTTTTTTTTATGACAGATGATCATAGTTGGAAGAAATTAATTGAGATATGGGAATGTCGGATAATAATGGTTTCTTATTTTGATTATTTCCTTTTAGGAAAGACACTGCTGATCCTGTAACATGGAGGATTGTCTTCATACTTCATCTGAGAATCTGTCCAAATTGGTCAGCTGGGCCCATAGCCATGGGACCATTTGCAGCCTCATTCCAAACCTAAAACACTTGCTTTCTGAAGGTTCCCATGGGAACCTGACGGCAATGTGGGGCTGTAGTGCTGGCCATGCTTATCATTGGCCACTAACAGCTACTTGTAGAGCTGGGTCCCAAGAAAGGGTCTGTTTCCAGGACAACAGAAGTTTTAACTCTGATAGTCCCAGTATAATTGGGGTGCCTTCTGAGACACAAACTAGCCCTGTTGAAAGGTACCCTGGGAGACCAGTGAAAGCAAAGCTAGACTGTAACCGGACCAGAGACTCTTGTGACTTCTCTTATTGCAGTGAGCCCTCTGAACTGGATGAAGCTGTTGAAGAGTATGAGGATGAAAACACCCTGTTTGATATGGTTTGTGAGTCTTCTGTTACAGATGAGGATAGTGACTTTGAACCCCAAACCCAAAGACCTCAAAGCATTACTCGCAAAAGGCCAGGAATAGTTCCATCTTCCCTCCATTCAAGTTCCCAGACACAGATGGTTGATGAATGCAGCAATGACGTCATCATCAAGAAAATCAAACAAGAAATTCCAGAAGATTATTACATTGTGGCAAATGCAGAGCTGACTGGAGGGGTAGATGGACCAGCCCTGTCCTTGACTCAGATGGCAAAACCCAAGTCTCAGACTCATGCTGGTCCCTCCTGTGTGGGGTCTGCTAAGTTGATTTCCCATGTAACATCTGCCATCAACACGGAGCTAGACGCACATGGTATGTCTGCATCTCCTTCTGTGATCTCCAGACCAGTTGTCCCAAAGACTGCTAGGGTATCTCTGGCTTCACCAAACAGAGGACCCACTGGTACCCATGGCACCAACCAGCAGGTGGCCATGCAGATGCCTGTGAGCACATCCCATCCTAACAAACAGATCAGTATCCCTTTGTCTGCCCTGCAGCTGCCTGGACAGGATGATCAAGTTGCTTCTGAAGAATTCCTGTCTCATCTGCCCAGCCAGGTCTCATCCTGTGAGGTAGCCCTCTCTCCCTCAGTTAACCCAGAGCCAGAAGTGAGCTCCAGTCAGCAGCAGCCTCCAGTTGCTCCAACTATAACCACTGAGGCCACAGCGCAGTGCATACCAGGTATGGCACATGAGGTGATAGTGAGTCCCTCATCTATGTGCATCAGAGAATTCTGCGCCGTCAGCATTTCCAAGACTATTGCTTCAGTCCTTTTCATTCTCAGAAAGCTAGAAATAATGAAATACATTTCATCCAGGTGATAATATGCAGGAAGTTCATCTGAATTGAGGCCATTCATCCAGTTAATATGCCTCAGGGCTGAGAGGACAGTTTTGAGAATGTGCTATTGATTCTATGTGACTAGTTTTAAGATTGATATCTGACCTTAAGCTGAATTTTTTTGAAGTTGGTTTTGAAGTTTTTAAAAATGCTTTCCTCTCAGTATCAAGGTATTTAGTTGCTGTTTCAGGCTACATGATGTTGATAAGGCATGTGATGAAAATAGATCCAGCCATTAGAACCAGCTTTATCTGAACCAACTTCACAATGGTAATCATTTTAGTGGATGTGATAGCTTGAAATATTTTTTTTACAGCAACAGACATTTCTAAAAGAAGTGTTAGATCTTTTCTCTCAAAATTTAAAAGAATCAGATAATATATTTTTGCAATATATGAGTCTAACTGTAATGAATTGAGACAAGAGTAGAATATTAGAACTCTACACCTGTAGTTCTAATGTTCTTTTTTTTTAATATTTATTTTTTAGTTGTAGTTGGACACAATACCTCTATTTTATTTGTTTATTTTTATGTGGTTCTGAGGATGGGATCAAGGGCCTCGCATGTGGAAGGCAAGCACTCTACTGCTGAGCCACAACCCCAGCCCTAATATTCTTTAGTTCTAACATTCATTATTTATTTAACAGTAAATATTGTTATTTATTTACATAACAACGGGGTTTGAATTCATGATTTAAATCTAATAGGCCAGAAATTAAAACATGAACAAGAATGAATAGACATGCAAAGAATATGGAAAGCAGAGATCTGTGGTCATTTTGGTATCTTTTAATCCTCAAAATAGTCATATATTTTGGGAAAAGCTTCCTAGAAGCCTGAGGCACCAGTCCCTTTGGCCCAAAACTTCCCCAAATTACGTTTCCTTTATGTTTCCTTTACAGACACACTTTTCCAATTTCAGTGTCAACATTAAGATCCCTAAAAGGAAGTTTACATTTATTACTTTTCTAGCATAGACATGATGTTATTAATAAAATATATACTGAAAATATTCATATCCTTATTAAAAACTATGCCTTTTCAGTTTATTCATTTTTCTTTCTTTTTTAAAATAACAGCTTTATTGAGATATAATTCATATACTGTAACATTCACTTTTAAAAAGTGTACAGTTCAAATCGAGAGTAGTGGTACATACTTGTAATCCCAGCAACTGAGGAGGCTGAAGCAAGAGGATCACAATTTATAGTCAGCCTTGGCATTTTAGCAAGATCCTATCTCAAAAAATTTTAAAAAGGACTCGGGGTATAACTAGAATGCTCCTGGTGTAGCCATCACCATTATATAATTTCAGAGCATTTTTATCACCTAGAAAGAAACCTCTTGCTTACCACTATAACTCGTTCCTCCAGTTCTTGGCAACCAGCTTTTTATCTAATTTATCTACTTATTTTGCAGATGTCATATGTAAGTGGAATCCCATATTATATAACTTTTTGTGACTACCTTTTTGCTTTAAACATAATATTTTCCAGTTTGATCCCTGTTGTGGCATTTCTTTTCTTTTTATTGCTAGATAGTTTTTCATTGTACAATATGCCGTATTTATTTCATTGTACAAATATGCCATTTCTTTTCATCAGCTGATGAACATTTGGGTTGTTTCAGTCTATTGTTATTATATTGCTACTATGAACATTTATATACAAAAAATTTTGTGTGGGTATATGTTTTTATCCTGTTTGGGAAACTACCTAGGAGTAGAATTATTGGGTCCTGTGGCAACTCTGTTTTAACTTATTAAGGAACTGCTAAGCCATTTGCAAAATAGCTCTACCATTTTAGACTCACCAGTAATGCACAAAGGTTACTATTTCTCCACATTATCACTAACATTTAATATTTTCCATGTTTAAAATAATTAGAGCTATAGTGTTGGGTATGTGAAATATGTATCATTATGGTTTTGATTTGTGTCGTTCTGTTGAGCATTTTTTTTGTGTGTGCTGCTTGGGCTGTTTATAGATCTTTTTTAGGGAAATGTCTGTTTAGATCTTTTGCCCATTTTTAAATTAGATCATCTGTTTATTGGTGAGTTATAAAAGTTCTTTATTCTGGATGTAAGTCCCTTATCAGATACATGATTTGCAAGTATTTTCTCTCATTCTATGGGTTGTCTTTTTCTTTCTTTTAAAATATTTTTACTTTAATCATTGAATAATACTGTGTATTGGCTATTCTTCATATACTAGATGCATTGTCTTTATTAGACTGGGTAACATCTTTGTACTAGGAAATCTACTCTTTATCCATGTAGTACTTTTGTGAATCTGGTTTGTTTGTCAGCCCCACCCCCCACCCCTGCCTTTTTTTAAATATAAGTTGAAGACATAGCCTGGCCAAGTTTTCTACATTCTCAATTTACATTTGAGGATATAATTCTCAAATGTGTTTTACAAAAGTGGTATACTCAAGCAGTTCAATAAGACTGTTACTTGTGTCACACACCCTTTCACTAACTTTCCTTGCAAAGCCAAATGCATGACACAGAGCTCTAAACCACTTCTTGTATAATGATTCGAAAAAGAAATTCAGCCTATTCGTAAAAGAAGTAATTTTAAAAATCCTTGTATTATTGTGTGTTTTACATTCTTATGGACTTTTGGAGACTTCTTATAATAGCTTAAAAAGTAGATATGACCAAGGATACCACATAACATATGCAGTCATGAACTGTGATTTGCCTTCATTCTAACAAGGAGGATTGGTTTGTCTTGGAGTTGAACCCTCAAGAACTTTGTAAGGAATTAGTAATGGAATTTTCTAAGGAATCATTCTCATTTTTTGATCCATTGTTCTGTGGAAAGATATATTGCCAACATATCATTAGCTTTAGAAAAATACTACTTGGATTGGAAAGAGCAATGAGACAAATAAAAACCTGATTGACATTTTTCTTTTTGAGAGATATTTAAAATTAATGTATAATTTCCCTTGGTTTCCTAGAGCACAAGCTAGGTTCTGTGTTCTAAAGTTTAATTTATTTATTTGCATTTGTATTCTTATAATCTCCATTGTAAGTAGAGATTTAGAAAAAAATAATTCAGCATGCCCAAATGTATGTGATTGCCTTGATGAATGGACCTTCCACAGTTAATGTATAAAGCACACTTGAGACTAAACAAAGATTCTGAAAGAACTTGCTGAAAGCTGATCAGGCTCTTTTAAAACAGATGGCATAGAATCTCGAGTCTTTACCAGATCATTGCATAAATATTGCATATCTTTAAATGATTTTTTTTTTTTTTTTTTTGGTGGTGGGTTACCATGGATTGAATTCGGGGCACTCAATTACTGAGCCACATCCCCAGCCCTTTTTAAAATTTTGTTTACAGGCAAGGTCTCATTGAGTTGCTTAGCCCTTTGCTGTTGTTGAGGCTGGCTTTGACCTCTTGATCCTCCTGTCTCAGCCTCATTTCTGTTTATAACTGAGTTTGTAAAGTTATAAAATGTCAAACAAGGTGTGAATAAAATAATGACTTTTTACTTTATCTCTGCCATACTGCTCAATCTTAAGTTTCTAGCAACTTGTAAAGAGGATGTGCATGTATTGTCGGTCACCATGGAGCATACCTGTAATCCCTGTTACTAGGGAAACTGAGGCAGGAGGATCACAAGTTTGAGGCCAGTCTCAGTAATTTAGTGAGGTCCCAAGCAATTTATCAAGACCTTGTTTCAAAACAAAAAATAAAGAAAAAAAAAAGAACAAGGAATTATAGCCCAGTGGTAAATGGCCCTTAAGTTCAGTTTCTGGTAACAACAACAACAACAACAAAAAAAAAGAGGATATGTGATTAGAAGAATTATTCACCATTTTTCCATTAACTTTTGAGTTTTTATATACATTGGGGTATTTAAAAATTTGAATCCTTATTGCATCATAAGTTAGGTTTTTCTGCATATTGTATGAGTTATTCTTATATATACTCATATATATGTATATATAGCCTCCTTTAAGATTTTGTGCAAAGGATCCCTTTTATTAACCATCTCTTCCCAGAAGTTTTATGATAGCAAGCAATCAATTTTTGCTCTTCAGATTTGTAATATATATTTCCTCTTCTGAATATATATATTTTTAATCTTTTAATAGATTCATATGTGTTCTTGATACACAGTCATAGGTCACAATGCTAGGGATACATTCTGAGAAATGCATATTGTATACCTAGGCTGTGTGGTATAGCCTGCTGCTGCTCCTGGGCTACAGATCTGGCTAGCATGCGTATACATTGAATACTGTAGGCAACTGTGACGCAATAGGAAACATTTGGGTATGTAAGCATAGTTAAACAAAGAAAAAGTACAGTAAAAATAGGATATGAAAGATAAAGAATGGTACAGTCTGTATGGGGCACTTACCACGAGTGGACCTTGCAGGATTAGAAGTTGCCCCATTTGAATCAGTGAGTGGTTAGTGGTGAGTGGATATGAAGGCCTGGGAATTATCTTGCATTCATTGTTTGTACACTGTAAATACTATGCTTAGGCAACACTAAATTTATTTTTTTATCTTCCTTCAATAATAAATTAACCTTAGCCTGGTGTAACATTTTTTATTCCATATTTTTTTAACTTTGATTCTTTTGTAATAATACTGAGTTTAAAAGGCAAATACTTTGTACCACTGTACAAATATATTTTCTTATTAAATATTTTCTCATTCTATAAGTTGTCTTCTATTTTTAAAAATATATATATTTTAAACATTTAACTAGTTTGGCTAAAAAGTAGGCCTGCACAGAGGCAGGATCATCAGTATCACTGTCTTCCATATCTTTGGAAGAAGGTCTTCAGGGGTAGTAACACATGAAGAGCT